ATAAATAGATTAAGGACTATAGTTATAGTAGTAATAGTAGTAAGTTAGATAATAAAGTTAATTAGCTACTAATATAAGTAATAGCCTAGCTTAGTAATAAGGACTAGGCCTATATTACTATATAGTTAGATAAGCGTCCCCCTTATATATACTATAAGGTCCTTATAATATAAAAGCTTATTATTTTTACTAAGACTAAATATACCTTTAAAGAAGCCTAAATTAAGCTTTATAAAGAGTTTATTAACTAGCGCCTTATCCTTTAGTACCTCTATATAATATACTTACCCTTAAGAGTATAGTAGGCTTACTACTTTATCTAAAAATACTAGAACTTTAGTATTTATATTACCTTTAGTATAAAGTTAAGTAATAATAATATTAAAGGCTATCTCCTAAATAGTCTTAGTTACTTATATTAACTTATTACTATTATATAAGATATAATTAGTAACTAGAAGTTATACTTTAAGTAAGCTTATACTAAAGATAAAGTCCTTAAAAGCTAGAAGTATATAAGGACTTACCTTAAGCTCCTTAGTAAACTTTATATACTACTTTCTTTAAAGTGTCTAATATTAATTAGAAAGTAATACTAGCTAGTAAAAAAAGTAATATACTTTAATAAAAGACTATTCTTAGCCCTTATTAAAGAATATAGTTTAAAGTATATAGTTTTAACTAAGCTTAGTATCTTATATTAGTATAAGATCTTTACTAAGATACTAAGTTTAGCTTTTTTTAGTAAGTAAGAGGTATACCTTTAGTAGTGTTTTTAAGAAATATCTTCCTCTAATTTATACTAATAAATTCTTAATTTAAAGATTATAGTACTTTTTTATAGTAAGCTAGAGAATACTATATAGCTTATTTTATTATAATTAGTTTTAGTTTAAGAGGGCTAGTTAGCTAGCTAGAAATATACCTAAAGTTATAGCTAAAGTATAAGTAGTAAGAAGTAAGGCTACCTACTTAGAAGTAAAAATAAGTACTTATTATTTACTTTAATATAAAAAGGAAGTTAATAAAGTTAAAGCTAGATTTTAACCTTATTTTAGTGCTAGATAAGAAGCTAGTCTAGCGTTTTTAGTAAAGAAAAGATAATAAGGAGTTATATAAGTAAATAGCTACTTTAGCTTAGTATCTAGAGGATATAAAGTTAGTAAGAAATAGTTAGTAGTAATAATAAATCTTTATAACTATATTATAAAACAGTAGCTAAGTTATAAGTCTTTTTAACTATATAGCCTTATTTAAGATTTATAAAAGAAGGTAATAAGTAATATATCTTTATAAAGCTTAAATAAAAAAAAGGTTACTTTTTATAGCTATAAGAAAAAGGCTTAGTAAGAGGGTTACTTTTTATAGCTATAGAAATAGGTGTACTTAAGGGCTTCTTTTTATAGCTATAAAGGTTACCTTTTATAAAGTATCTTTTCTATAGCTATAAAAAGAACCCCTTTATAGACTTTATTTCCTATAGTTATATAGGTTAATTCGATAATAGTAAAAGGAAATAGTAGAGGTGTTAGTAAAATTAGGTTTACTACCTTTATAGAGATATACTAAATTTCTAAACTAATTAGAGGTATGAATAGCGGCGCCTATATAAGGGCGGCGCCTATATATTAATTTATAGCGCCTATATATTAACTCCCTATAAATAATAAGAAGTCTATTACTAGTTTAGTACTAAGATTACTTAACTTATATAGTTTATAGTATAGCTTTACTGCTTAGAATATTTATTATATATGTATATATATATTAAGTAGTTTTATAATACTTAATATAAATACTAATTACCTATATAGACTTTACTACTTTTACTTTTAATAATATTAATACTTCTTACTTATTTCTTATAAGATATATATCTATATATATTTATAATATTCTTTATTACTATATAGTATTACTAAGTATACTGAAGTATTAAAGATATATTTATACTATTTAATAACATTATTTATTTTATATCTTATATTATTATATTAAATATAAAACATTATATAAATATTAAGTAAATATAATTTAAATATATGCTTTCTTTTTCTATTATAAAATAATATAAATATATGTCTTTTATTTGTATTATAATATATTGTTTTAATATTATATCTTTATCTTATATTATATTTTCTAGTTTTCTTTAACTATCTAGTTATACAGCTATATATTGTTATTAGTCTTTAGGTAAGAGCGTTATAGCCTAGTAGACATTATCTTATAATAACTATTAAATATAGCTTTACACTTTTTAACTTTAAATATATATTTTGTCTCTCTATTATTACCTTAATGAGTCTTCTCTTTAATATGTTTAATCTTTATTCTAGACTACTAATATGTATATATTAGAATATATTTAGGCTTAGAAACTATAACAAACTATGCTTTAGGTATTCTAATAAACCTACCCTCTTATATTTAATTAGTTTCCTTCTTTTTATCTACTTTCTATAATACGTTTATCTATAGTTTACTACTAATATAAACATAGCTAGAGGCTTTTAAGCTAGCCTTTTATCTATTAGAAGTTTAAAGGTGGAAAAGTTCTTAAGCGCTTTTATAGAAAGCTAGCATTATATATTATAATAGCTTAAGTGTAAAAAAGCCGCTAATGGCTTTTTGCTAGCTTCTTACTTAGGAAAAGGTGAATATAAGTATTATGTATTAAGTTTTAACACCTTATATAAAACCTAGAATAATAAGATAGTAATAAAAATAACTATAATATACTTTTTATTATTAAACATACTTTATATACTAGATATATATTCTAACTTTATAATTACTTTAAGTTCTACTATTATTTAAGAATAAGAATATTACGTTACAAAGAATAGTACTTCTAAGAAACGTACTATTCTCCTAAAGAGTTTCTTTATTAGTAAAACAGACTAAAGTAAACTATATATATAAGCTACTTATAATAAGCACTAAACGAAATAATAACCTAAATTATAAAGCTAATTAATAATTTTAAATATAAAGAAAACTTATAGAAATATAAAATAACCTAAAGAAAATAAGTATAAGTATATAATATAATTACCTAGTTAAAAAGGTCTAGTCTTACTTCCTCTTATATTAGAGAAACAAGACCTCTTTATTCTTAAGTACTCTAGATCTTTATTTCTATAAAATTACTTTTCTTCTTAGGAAAATCTGCGTTTAAATTTCTAGGTCAGTAGTTAAAAGCAAGCAGGTGTCCTCTCTAGGGTATAGCCTAGTACTCCTAACTAGCTAGGCCCCTAGAGGCCCTACACCTTCTAGAGGGAGGCCTATCTCTTCTTAGAAATCTAACTTACCTCTCTAAGGAGGCCCTCTTAAGCTCTTATAGTCTCTAGTAGACTACTTAGCTTTTAGCTAGGAAAATCTAGTCTAGCCCCTTTAAGCATCTAGCCTGCCTTTTTTTAAGTAGGCCCTATAGCTCTTATATTCTCTAGCTAGCTAGAAATCTACTATATAGGTCTTATTAAGTAGCGCCCTATATGTATAGCAGTATTGTACACTAGCTAGGTATATATAATAGTAGTTACTTAAAGTAGATTAACTTTATAACTAGAGGAAGTAGTATAATTATAGTATTATTACTTAGTTAATAACTAACTAGATAAAAAGGTCTAGTCTTACTTTCTATAATATTAGAGGAAAAATCTGTCTTTATACTTAAGTACTCTAGATCTTTATTTTCTTAGAAGGAACCCCTTTTTCTTCCTCTATCTAGAGATCTAGTCTTAAATATATAAGTAGAAATATAATATAGTAAATTATCTTATATTTCTTATATCTTATATCTTATGCTATATCTTATCCCTTGTTCTTAATCCTATATTACTCTTAATTACCTCTAAAAGTAAGAAACGTCCCTAGGGGTTTTCTATTTAGCTTTATAGATAGCTTAAGACTACTTTATACTATCCCTAAACTTTAACATTAACCTAATAGATTCAGAGCTATTTAGGCCTACTACTTATAGAAGTAAAGAGATTGTGTTACTAAATATATATATTTTCAGACTTCTTTACTGTATTTTACCTATATAAGAATACACCTAGTAGTAAGAAATATAATAAGAATAGTAATACTAATAATAATAATAATAACAGGTACCTAGCCTTAGATGCTCCTTAGAAGTAGCTATATAAACTAGAAATACCCTCTAGCTACTAAGTACCCCTCATAAGTAGTAGAAATCTACACTATAATAGATTGTAATAAAAGTAGAACTTGTGTGTTTTCCCTTCTTGTCCCTTGTATTCATGTGTTTACTATCCAACCAGGCATTGTACTGGTTCATTTGGAGGATATATATGGGTAATGTTGGGCGCATTAATCTCCCACCCATTGGGGTGCGCGTTCCAGAAGATGCAGTGCGCCGTGTGTGTTTCGTTCCGGCAGTGAGTATCCAAGGTCAACGGATCTCCGGTAGCCCGGGCATGCGCATAGGCGCTTCGTTGCCGATCCCAGATATACGAACAGTGTAGGTGATGGAATCCTCCGTCAGTCCAGAGTCCTCCGGGCGGATATCGGCCGCTCAGGACGTCGTCCCACGGAACGACGCTTTTGTGCTGTCTATCTAGGTAGAAGGTGTTGTTGATATTGGAGACGTATTGAAGGTATAACTTCTGATTGTGACACTGCGGGCTCACCCATGCGCTCATCATCAGGTCATAGATGCATCCGGCCTCCTCCGCCTGCCTCCACGACGGGCCGCACTCTGGTCCAACGGCAAGCGTGCCTTTTTCTGGGCGGGGTGTTCGACCTGCCGACCCCCAAGACACGAACAGCCAGAAGCTATAGACTAGCGTTCCAACTAAAGTGAGAACGAGCAAAATTCCCCACCTGAGAAGCCTGCGTGGCTGTTGCCAACCACAGTCGCGGCCGCTTTGGGAGGCCTCTACCACAAGGAACTCCGCACAATGAGACTCGGTAGCCTGTTTCTGAGCCATTGGTGAGAGGGTTGCGCTGATTTGTTTGACTAAGGTAGCTTGAAGAAATGCCACATCCGTTGGTTTTAGTGTTAAACCAATCAATATAAATTGTGTTCGTAAGTAAGGGTTAACTTAGTGCATAAAGTCGTGGCTGTAATACTGAGGACACACCTCAAGTAGACTGTCTCCAGTAGATTATTGTAAATATTTAGAGTATTTAGGTGGCATGTTGCCTATTTATTCCATTTTATGGAAAATGCCTGTATAGAGGGCAGGGATAGGGGAAACTATAATGATATATGCTTTCCGGAGAGCGTTACAGTCCACGACTGCTCGGGCTTTAGGTAATCAAGCGGCTATATATATCTAGAGGTAAATAACCCCCAAATATATACCCGGCGGTGCTAGTTAGTGCTGTCAAGCTAAACACCCCCTCCTTACAGAGGGGGGGAAAAATAGGGTTACTACATAGAAAATAGGATTACTACTTAATGTATACTAAATAACTTCCTACACTAAGGGTTAAAATAGAAGTAAGAAATACTAGAAATAACTATAATAAATCTACTTAATTGCTATACTATAAGATAGATATAAAATATTTATTTGAATATATATAAAATACAAGGTTATTTTTATTTCTAAAAATACTAAAACTAGTATTATATTATAAAAGAATTATTAATAGAATATTATAATAGATTATATACTTTTTAAGTATAAAATAGCTTAATCTTAGGAGAGCACTTTAAAACTACTTTTTAAAAGTATTTAAAAATAGAACTAGTAGTGCTTTTATAAATAAGAAGAAATTCTCAAGTAAATACTATACTTTATAATACTTTTATAAGCAGAATACTACTATATATATATTATATAGTTAAAGAAGAATAAAGTATATAGTAGAAATCATAGTATATCTTTATTACTTACTTAATATAAGGTTTATTTAGTATATTAAACTAAAAAAGTAATGTTTTATTATAAAAGAAATTATTCTTTTTTTAAAATATATAATAAAAGTAAATTTTATAATATAAGATTATTATATAAAGAATAAGTATAATTTAAAAAATAAAACTACTTTAATAAGCCTTAAAAGCCTTATAAAATACTAATTAACTTAAAGTTTTAATTTTTTATAGCTTATAGTAATACTTTTACTTTAAGTAAAACTATAGTACAATCTTATATATATAGTAACTAAAGATATAGACTTAATATAAAAGATATAGAAAAAACTAGATTCTTTAAGGTTTAATAATTATGTTTTAACTATAAATCTAGCTATAAGCTAGAAAACTTACTAGAGAAACTATAAGTAGTAACCCCATTTTTAGTGTAGCAACCTTATTTTTTTACTCCTCGCGTAAGCAAGGGGTTTTTAGCGCAGCGAAATAATGACTAACACCCCTGGCACTCAGGTGACAAAAAATTGTGCCGGTTTTCAAGAACCCATGGCACTACCTTGTAGATACCTTTACAATAGACAAAAACGCCTCTTTTCTTGTATATAATACTGTTAACTTCAAGAACTTTACGCGCATCTATGAATACAACTTTTTCGATATATTGAAAGCTGTATTCCCCGTTACGACACTCGTGGCAGTGGTGGTGGTAGTAACAGTAGTAGGAAACCGGCACATTTTTTTGTCACCTGAGTGCCTGGGTAGTTTGGGTCAAGTCTGATGTATTATTATCCCGGTGGCAATATTTCTGCCACAAGCTCCACAGTACCGTCAGATGGGTCATAAATAGCCTCACAGCACGGACTTTAGCAGTACCTGGTGGCGATGCTGGAGAGGTATGTCGGAAGGGTTTGCAAGATTATTAAACTTACTTCGTCATGACGCAGTACACGTCTCTAGCGTCTACATCGATATATATATCATATATCCCTTGGCAACATACACCTCTACAGACTAAATTAAACACATTAAGAACATCATTTCCTACGTGCTGATGAGACTGTTACGGTAATCTAGTCCTTTTAAAGAACTCTTATTCCTGTTATTGTATCCCGCGACCTGAGCAAGTCATGGCCCACAATGCCTTGTCGAACGAGGAAAGGTCATCTTGGCGGACGATGCCGCATAAAGACCAGCTGATAGTGCTGGGTCTGTCTCGGCTGGCGGAGCCCCTCACGCGAACAAGCTTCGGTGTTTGTGTCCCCTTTCTGTGGACGGATGGTCAAAAGAGACACTTACCTTCTTTCTAGACCTATATTTACTATCAAATCCAGTCTTGGGATCCTACGCTCTCGTCAGCCGGCATTGTACGCCAGGCCGCATGGCTGCAGACGGCCTTGACAACCATGGTGATGCTTGTCAGCCTGCCCATAAGCCGGCTCGCCGACTCTCCCAGAGTCGGGCGCAAGGGCGTCCTGTTGATGAACTTGGGCGTGCTCGGCACAAGCACAATCTGCTTCGGCTTCACGCGCAGCTTCACCCAGGCCTTGATGCTTCGCATCCTAGAAGGCACCTTTAGCGGCGGGACGGTTGTAGTCCGCACCATGATCCCCGAGATTGTGCCCGGAAAGAAACACCGGGTTAAAGCCTTTCTGATGCTACCACTGGCTTTCAACGTCGGCTCCCTGATTGGACCACCTATTGCTGGACTCCTGGTCGAGTATGCGCGGAGTCACGCGGCAGAGAACGAGTTCCTGGCGCGCTGGACATACGCGCCGCCGATGCTGATGACAGGAATCGTCATTCTCTTAAGCTTTCTGGCCGTATTTTTCCTCCTGGAAGAGGTATGGTATCTCGCTGTACCGCGTTTCATTTTTGGTTCTTTTCCACGTACGAACGGCTGACTGAGTTGGCGTCCCCTTGCAGACATTACCTGCCTTGGCGGATCAGTCCGACGCTGGGATACGGATCAAGAAGACTATCGTTAACCTCTGGCATTCCGAGAGACCCCGCAAGATGGGCAAGGTGCATTATGAGGCATGGGACGCGCGAGCCTCGGACGAGTCCCAGGATCTGGATCCGTTGTTGCCGGAAGGTGACAGCGGCGAGGCTCAAGACGGCACCGCGGCAGCTGCTCCTGATAATGCCGCAAAGCCCCTGCATTCTGGCAAGATACCGCTTCGGAAAGCTCTGACGGCAAATGTTCTGCTCGCTACCAGCTGCCAGGCCATACTCGATGGCCTTACCGCGGCTTATAATACGCTGTGGCCACTGTTCCTCAGCGATCCGCCTTCATCCACCGACATCGGCCTCCTTTCGGGGGAGGGGGCACCTTCCGCTCCATCCCCGCTGAGATTCTCGGGAGGCGCGGGCCTCAAGCCCTCTCAGATAGCTCTGACGCTCATGATTCTGGCTGTGGCCGCCCTTCCACTGCAGATATTCGTATACCCTTGCGTCAGCTACAAGCTCAAGCCCATCGGAACCCTGCGGTGCTTTCTCTGGTGTCTGGCTCTGGCTTTCGCTATCACTCCTCTCATAGCCGTCACGGTCAAAACGCCATTTTTCATGTGGCTCATCATCGTGGCGGTCCAACTGCTCATGGTCCTTACCGCGGCCATGGTGGTGCCCTCAGCGACATTGATGACGAACAAGTTGAGTCATCCCACAGACTTCTTCCAGTTCTTCGTAGCCTGCTTGCCGACACGTGACACGATGCTAACATGTGAAATTTGCTACACAGTTCCGCTCCGAGCCCTGCAGCCCTGGCGGCAACCCATGGCTTGTCCGTCACCTTGTCCGCAATGGCCCGGACAATATGCCCACTCGCCGCCGGTCACGTTTACGCTGCCAGCCAGGCTCACCAGAACGGGGGTCTGGCGTGGTGGTTGATGGCCGGCATAGCCACCTGTGTCTGCGCCATGAGCTGGTTCCTCCGCGATGGAACCGAACAGAATGCCAAAGCTTGGCCAGTGGAAGAGGACGCACCCTCGCGCTGATCGAAGATGGGATTGATGGGATTTATGGGTAAGCAAGATCACGTCACCGTTGCTGTCCCCTCTCTGCAAGATTATGTGCTATGCTATAGAGCGTAATCTGCTTTACCTGATCGACTGGTTCGATTTCTACAGTATATTCGATAATCATTGTATGAGATGTGTTAGAAGCACTGTTACACTTACTCAATATCACTTTGGAGGTATTGAGTATCAACGCCTTCCCCCCCATGTGAAAGTCGCTCGCCACTGGCTAATGCCATCTTGTTGAGTAGGGCAGCAATATCCTTTAGGCCACCGTTAGTTACCTAACAGGGAGCAATAACTTTAGCTTGTAATTATTATAATTACGTTTATCCTTGTTACCTATATACCTCGTGGGTTCCGTGCCGTAATACTCTATTGTCTTCTAGTTCTTAGCTCTTCTTTAGCCCCTAAAGCTTTCGGCTCAGAGCTTACTGTGATTGATTCCATGCGACAAACTTTCGTCTGACTGGGACACAACAATTAAAGCTTCTGCGTCTTATTCATTCATTCATCTTCCTATCTATTCATTTACTTATGTTTACTTACCAATTTACTCATTCATCCCTTTCTTTCTACTCGCTCTTGAATGTATTGTTGCTTGACGCTTCTTGTGTATTACCTGTTTTAAAACATGATGATCTCACAACAATTATACTGTCTGTTCTCGACCTTGTGTCTGTTGGTTCTTGCCAGTCATCACCATCAGAATGGCTCCTTCAACCAGTGGCACCCGCCTGGCCCTCGTGACGGTAGGGGACTTACAAACCATCTTTCGGTGGAGAGAAGGCGGCTGACAATATTTGTTTCTTAGTCCGCTCTCCCTGTCCTATGTTGAATGCGTTGGCAAATCACGGCTTCCTTCCCTCCAATGGCAGGGGCATATCGCTTGATATTACGACTCGTGCGCTGGCCGACGGCATAAACGTAGACCCCTATGTGTCCAAGCTGCTCTTCGATCATGCTATCGAGACAAATCCGGACCCGAAAGCCGCCACCTTTGACCTTGACCATTTGAACCGTCACGGCATCATAGAGCACGATGCTAGTCTCACGTGAGTGCTTCTTCTGAGCCATACGTATCTCCGTCCAAGAAGACTATCCTTTTTAGTCGGCCTGCTGACCCCCGGCCCCTAGCCGCCCGGACAACCGCTTTGGGGACCCTGGTGCTTTCGACCCCGAGGTGTACAGCGAGACTTTGCAGTATTGGCCCGACCCTATCGTCTCCGTCAGACAGGGCGCCGCCGCGCGGCTCGCTCGCATACGCACCTCGGCCGGCACCAACATCGATTTCGAAATGAGACTAGAGGACAACCTCCGCGGCCTTGGCGAGATCGCGGGGTTCTACCTCACCCTAGGAGACCGGGTTGACGGTACTGTGAACCGGACATGGCTGACTTACTTCCTTGGTAAGACTTTTTCCCACCTTTTCTTTCCTCTTCTGGTCTACTATATCCTTCACCTCCTCACAAGGGTCTGCGTAACCTCCGCGATTGTGTTCGATTGAACGCTAACCTGAACCGGGCGGGGGTTTCGGTGAGTAGAAAAAGAGTTTTTACCCGTGCCTTTCGGCTGGTCGAGACCGCGCGACCCCATTACACTGGAGGCACTGCAGGCGGTCATGGCCAAGGTTTACAATGCGTCTCAGGACATCATCAACGAGGGGGTCGACAAATGTATCCCCCGGCCCGAACGGAACATGGATGGGCAGTATGTGCTTGGCGGTGCACACTAAGTGATGAATAAGCTTCCCTCGTTCAAGGGTGCAGAGTCAATTTGCCATAACCTTTGTCGTTTTCGCCTAATCCATGGACATTCCATGCAACTAGATCTTCTCAGACCCTGAAACATCGTTTTGAAGACCTATTCATGGTGTTGACCAATGACTAGGTCTCCTCAGTGCCATAATCGTTCTAGTACAAACCTATATGGTCAGAACTGGGCTATATGTATTTGTCGAGCATGGCCTCAACACCATGTTTCAGAGATCAAGGACACAAAGGGCATGCCGAGTCTGATTCATGGATGCCGGGTGACGCAGGTAAGGCAGGGTCCTGTCATAACAGTGCGAGATCCATCTATCCTTGTTCCGGTACGGCATCACAATGTGCCCGAGCAGTCTCGGGTTGATCATCGTCAGGCCGGACGGGAATTCGGCAATCCAAGCTTTGACGAGCAAGTAATGCTGACGCGCCATTTATACAGACAATGAGATTGATATCATCAACCGAGACATCTCAGAACACGATTGCACGTTAGCTTTGATTGACTCGTTCTCCCCGCCTCTACTGAAATGGCCTACAACAGAAACCCCTTGCTGATACAGGACGCCGCGGTAGGCCGCACCGGCGTACGTGCAGCGCCTCTATTTCTTCTGCACGACGCCAGCGGCAACATTTTCAACTACTTCAGGCTGGGCTTCCTGGGAGGCTCACGTAAAGTGTATGGCATCAGCGACTCTCACATTGGGCGTGAGGGTGGCATCTGGCAGAGCGTCAATGACATGGCCCGGCACTATATCAGGCTCATAAAGAAAGTTATAATGCGAGGAAACATCCTTCTGGGAGGTAAGCAGGGCAACACGCCGACCGGTTCCTCTTCCCCTTCTCCTTTACACACACCTAGGTTTGCCGCGTAATAACAAGGAATCAGGATGGTCATTCGGGGGCATCCTCGCGATTCAGATGGCCCATCTCCTGGCGAGGGAAGGTCGCGGCCTTGCTTGCTCAGGTCTGGTGTTGGTCGATACAGTTTACATTTCGCCGGCCCGGTTGCTCGGCTCCGGTGTAAACTCTAACTATAAAATCGTCGCCCCCACTATGCCCGCTGACATGCCTCCCGGCACCCGTGACGAGATCCTAGCCTCGCTCGTGCGCGCAAACGTGCTGTGCTCGTCATGGCAACCACCCTTGTGGGACAATTGCAAGATGCCGTCGGCAGTGTTGCTCAGGGCCATGGATTCTATTCCGCAGGCGGCCCCGCCCGGCTCCGACGATACCAGCAGCGGCACAGAAGAGGCAGATGGCAACATGAGTAAGTGCCGACTGGACGCGCTGAGGGACTTGGACGACCTTGGCTGGGACGAAACGCAACCAGGACTCGTGCGCTCCGTGGTGCATACGCCGGGGCACCACTACGCCCTCTTCGCCGACGAGAATGTATGTACAGACACGGTTGTTCCGTTGTTACTAATGTTGCAAGGATCGGCCTGGATCGAGCTAACCATCAGAGGGGAACAGATATCCTCGACGACTGAATCTCTCAAGCAAGCCCTCCGCCAACTGGAGGGTGGCAACCTGTAATATTTTCCTGCGTGACTCAAGACCTTTCCTGCGGATTACAAAAGAGAGACGCCAACCACGCATGACCAGGGACGTGATGCCAGCTTGCAGTGACTTCGACGGTTCGCCGCCGGATCATTGTTTTCGCGAGAAACTGTCGCAACCCGTAGTGCCCGAGACATGCTGCTCCTGCTCTGACGGCGATGGCGCCAGCAACGAAGACCAACCCTTGATGCTCGCTAGCCGTCCGCACCGCAGGCCTACATGCCTCCTTGTCGTCGTTTGGTGCCAGTGGGCCCTGATAGTCTTTCTTGCGATTATCGCGTCCATCTTGTGGGCGGACCGCCGCGCCCACCTCACAGACCCGGGCCCAGATACGATGCCGCCCCAACTACCAGACATCCAGCCGCTGGTTCCGGACGATGTCACGGCGGCCAAAGAAGCCCTGAACTACGGCTACTACGTGGCGGAGCCCATCCCTTACGACATCCTGCGCAATGTCTCCGTCTTGGAGCGGCGGCTCGTCCAGCTCGGGCTCGGCAACTTCAGCACAGGGGTCAAGGCCAACGGGCGGTACGGCGTGTACATCGACGACGAGGGCCGACGGCGGTTCCTGCACCCCAAGCTGACCATCAACGACACGGAAGCGTACCTCATCTCGGGCCTGCACCACATGCACTGCATGATGGAGACGCTGCGCGACTACGGACTGCTCGTCAACGGGTTCCGGCCGCTGTGGAACGACCACCACGTCGTGCACTGCTTCAACCTATGGTACCGGTCCATCGAGTGCGCGGCCGACAGCACCGCCGAGGGCTACACTGAGCCGTTCGGCACCGTCCCCGCCGGCGAGATCCGACGCGCCAGCTGGGCCAGCAGCGTGCCGCGGTGCCGCGACTTTGGCGCCCTCTTGCGCTGGGCCAAGGACCCGGTGCGAGCCCTGCCCTTCCACTACGACTCGGGGCTTGACGTGATGGCTGTTTCCAAGCTTTATGGGGAGTGTGATGTGACCGAATGTCGCGACGAAGGAGGCTGGAAAGGGCTGGACTGACTATCTCGTGACCGGAACAGCATGACTTGCGTAGACATGAATTGTGTATGGCTCGGTGGGTGTCCCTCTGTTTTGAATTACATCTTTTACTCTCCTTTACTCTAGGATTGTTGTATTGGCCGATTGTGGACTTGCTCCGCCTCGACTCTAGATTCGAAAGATCATCGTGGCTATTGAAGTAGGAAGAGTCCAGATCGTATTACACAAGCAAGAATGGACCATCCAACATGTCATGGGTTCACCGTATAAACACATCGTGACAGAAACAGCCGTCTTTCAAGCTGTATTATCTAGGTAGTTGGCGATAACGGGATATTCCCACAACCGCCGCTGTCCATCAACGACCCCCCCGTAAGAATGCCCAACCAAAGCCTGATAAGTCCTACAATCTCCCGACAGTCGGCAATCAGGGCTTAAAGTATCCGTCAGTACTATTTGCTGAGGAGTCTTGCAGTGGTCTCCGTATAAAGAGGCTTAAGGTACGTACGTGATGTAATGCTGGCGTCAAGCCCGGCATCGCCGTCATTAAAGGCAAGGACCAAGAGTTTCTGTTTATTAACAGAGGATTAGCTAGCGTTCGCCGTTGCGCTAAATTACAATAGAATTCTACCTTGTGAGGGTCCTGGTGTTAAATGTAGTGGAATGACACGTAATTATCTAGTAAATGTGCAGCCGGGCCCTGGCGAATTGTTGGAAAATAGGCGACAAATCTACCCTACTTTTTATAGTTAAATAACTAATTAAATAGCTAGGATTAGCCTAAGATTTCCTAAGTAAGGAAAAATAGAATTTCCTTATTCCTAGAAGATTTTACTATACTTATAGATTATTAATTACCTAATATATAACTATTATTATTTCTACTATTTAATAATTAATAGTCTAATATATATATTTATAATAACTAATATACCTATCTAATAAATATAGACTATTATAATAAGTAATAAGAATAATAACTATAAGGTAATAGTCTTCTAGTTATATAGTAACTAGCCTATTTAGCTTAACGCTATCTAAGTAAAAGTAAAGTATTAAAATCTCTAAGGTTATATTAACCTAAATAGTATAGTAATAACTTATTTAATCCTTAATATAAATCTAAAGAAACTAATAAAGCTACTACTATAGACACTAGCTAAATCTACCTATCTTTACTTTAGAGGCTAATAGTAAGAGGTATAATAGCTACTATAATAAGTATAGCTTACTAGTAGAAATATATATTAAATACTAGTAAAAGTAAGGGTAGTTATATATATTAGTAAAAAGCTTAGATATAAGCCTAGCTAACTAAGTAAGTAAATAAGTAAGTAGGCTAGTTAACTATTATTTATTATAAGCTTAGCTTTTTAGTAACTATAATACCTCTTACTATTAATATTTAAAGCAGGTCTAAGTAGATTTAGCTAGTATTTATAGTAAGATAGCTATATAGTAAGTAAGATAATATAGTAAGTAAAATACTTATTTTAATCTTTTTACTTTTTCTATAAGTTTATTAAGTAATAATATATAAAATTAATTAAAACTATATTTTATTTTCTTTTTATTACTATTTTAAACTACTCTATAGTTTTATATATTATATGTAGTCTTTTTATAATTACTATATTATTATATATATAATTTATTACTCTTTATATAAGTCTTTTTTTAAAATATTATCTTACTTTTAGCTTTAATACTTTTTATTATTTCTTATAATACCTTTACTTTAGTTATATTAAGTAACTTTTTAAGATATAGTTAGGTCTTTTTAGGTTTTTAATACTTACTTAGTATATTTATTTATATATAAGTCTAAGGTTTTTAGCCTTAATAAAAGTAAGCTTATATACTAACTTACTAATACTTTTAGCTTAAAGGTTTATTACTTTATATATTAGTATTAGTAAGCTTTCTTAATATCCTTTAATCCTTTTTTTATTAAGCTAGTACTTTATATACCTTTTAGTACTATAGTTAGTATCTTTAGGCCCTATAAGCCTAAGCTAGTTAAATATAAGCTAGTAAGTGTTAGTATACTTAGCTTAAAATTTAAGTAAAAATAACTACTAGAGTAGGGTAGGGCGATTAGCCTAAAGCAAGATAGTATATAGGCTAATTAGAACAAGATGTCATCTCTTGTTACTGAGAACATAGTTATCGCCGCCATGCACGCCCGCGAACTGTGCTCGTCATATGATATTCCCGGCGATGTATTCGAGCCCGCTTTGGCATACTGGTTTATCTCGGCAACGGCGGCGATCCAGGGACAGTGCAAAAGAAAAACGGCGCGGTGGTACATGCAAAAGGCTAGGCGTGCTTTGTTGGTGGTCAGGCTTTTTGTTCTGTCGGGCGTCACTCGCAGATCCAGGCCAGGGAAAACACTGGTCCATCGGTGTAGCTCGTCGTTGGCATCCCTGTGCCTTTTCGTTCTGCTGTCGCGATGCATCGTGATTGCCCGAGGACTGAATTGTATCCTCATAATGCTGTGCATTGTAGCTGCCAGTGATCGTATATCGTGCAAGGTTCCATGGGGATCATGGCTTGATGGACTTGAGTAATCCATCATCCAGTCACAGTCAAGCACCTGGAAATATCACTATCTCTGCTGGATTTTCGACGCCATAATCATTTCTGTCCCACAATCTTTTTTGTATGACATCCGTGGCGTTTTACTATCAAAGGACTCTGGGCCAAGGAGACCTACTTACCGGAGGCAATCCCCGATCGAGCGCGTGCACCACATCCAGCACATATGAGTATGCCAAAGCGGGCTCGAATACATCGCCGGGAATATCATATGACGAGCACAGTTCGCGGGCGTGCATGGCGGCGATAACTATGTTCTCAGTAACAAGAGATGACATCTTGCACTCGAGGGCGACAGAGGCCTGCAAGGAGTTAGTATTTGCAAATGTGACGACTGACCAGCACATTGGACACTAGGGCCTTACCATGAGCAAGGACAACTGGGGTTGATCATAATTAGCTATCAGCACGCATTCCCATGACTTTCCTTCACCTTTCGTCCAAAATCAACCAAGGGAACTAACTTGAAATTTTAACACCTCGCTTGGAAGACATTGCGCACTCTCGCGGAAACCAAGGGCGGCACGCAGCCTCCACATCACTCGGGCGCCGTCAGTATCACTTCTCACGGATGCAGATGCGGAAGAGTTCTGATTCTGGTCATGGCAAACGGCAGAGACGGCGCCTCCGGGCTGCCGCCTGGAGAGTCGATGGCAGTATACGCCGAGGGCGATGACGGCGTGTGCGAAGCCACGGACGAGCTGACTCGCGTCTGGAAGGAATGCCTCCTTGATCCGTTTGAGGATATCGGCCCTGGGAATGAAACTATGATATTTTCAGTTAACAAACTTATGGGATCGAGAGGCCAACGTACTTGTAGTAAACGTCACTAAAAGCTAGAGCTTGTTAGCTGTGCCTCGCCTCACTCTAGGTTCACAATAAATAGGAGAAAAGAAAAAACCAGATGTGTTGGCATATTATTGACTTGTGAAAACCAGGCTCACCTGAAATGTACGTCTCCAGAACTTCGTCGCTTTCTGTAGTCCACCAGTCCTTTTCACATAGTTGCGACTCGCCAAGTTGAAGATGGCTTATTGCTCTGCTAGCGTCTGACTTCTTTCCTTCAAGGGCGGCCAGAATCCGACCAGCTTCAAGCCCACCTTTCCCAAGAGAATGACACACAGCATCGCGCAAGCCGTAGAAGGATGATGATGAGAAGGTCATTTTCTGGCATATGAGAGACGGCGATAATGCAGAGTTGTTAGCAGGGGGTCTGGGTGATGTGACACGGGCGAAGCCGTCGCTGGCTAGCCCTAGCTTCCGCATGGTAGCGGTAGGAGATGTCCATCCGCTTGTATTCGGTGTTACCCCGATGTCCAAAGAGCCTGATTCGAACGATTCGAGCACCTGAGAAGGGCTCTCGGATCCGGAGAATGTCCAGTTCATATCCCTAGTCAACTCCATATCGTCAAAGTCTCCAGGCGTCTCCGTCTGTAAGGGAGATATAGAGGCCGTAGCACCGTCGTTGGTAGGTTTAAGGTTTCTCCACAAACCGGCTCGTTCGTCGTCGGAGATATAGAATATCTTTGGATGTGAGGCAAGGGATACGGGGGCTTCGTCCGCGCAAATTAAGGGGCCTGATGTTGTTGGCTGCGGTGTCAGCAGGAACTGGCGGCCAGCCATGCCCGCAGGATCACTGAGGTAGTAACCATGGCTAGAGGCACCTGCTCTGCGATCCGGATTGTCGTTGCCCCAATGAGGAAGCGTGCCGGGTCGGACGCCGTGGACGGCTGCAGTGCCAGGTGATACAAGAGAAATATCATAGTTGGCGTTGGCTTGGCCTAGGCAACCGTCACCAAAGGTCTTCAAAGGAAAGTTGAACACGGTTCGTCGATGTTGGCGAGGGCCAGGTTCCGGATATATACATTCTTGGTCCAGCCGCTGGATTCGAAGTTAGCCCTTGTTAGTCGGCCGGTTGAATAGCAGACAATGAGACTAACCTGGCAGTTTACACACTGGTCCCCTCTATCGCCTATACAAACAGATAGATCGTGCCTTTAGCCTGGCTTGTTCGTGGTGCAAACAGCGACCGGAGGGAAGCCGAGAGTGTAGGACTGACTAACATTTTGTTTTCTTCTCGCGGCACACAAGACAGGCGCCGCGTCGTCGGTTTTGTCTAAGCATCCTAGTGTTTGTTACAATTATTAACCTCTAGAGAATGTTTTGCTTAAAAAACAGCGCAGTTGATGCTTAGGTTTAACACGGCAATATACTACCTAAGTTAAATAGCCTAACTAAAAGGTTAAGGCCTTTTCTGTCTTTGTAATTAAGCGAAAGAAATTGATTTAACGAAGAGGAACTTTATATTACTGTATGTAATTCCCACACTAAGTTCTTTATCCAGTAATTCTTAAAGACTGCCTTAACGTTTTAGTGCTTAACTTCAGGAATAAATGTGGAATAAAATAGAATCTAATTCTAAGGACTAAGCATCTAGGTAGTAGTCAAATAAGCTAATAATTATAAACAGAGAAAGCCCCTTTAGCACTATGTAGTCAGTGTCAATTATATGCACCTATTTCTACCTCTTCTTCTAACAAGGACAAACGGGTTTAGCTTCCTAGCTAGTATTAGGCCAAGGTTTAACCCCTCATTAAGCTGTCTATGTGGCTATGCTTTTTTAATTGCTTCAAAGGCGCTTGTTTAAGAATTATATATATATCTTGTGGATAGAGGAGCAGCACAACAGCAAAAGTGGGACAATACCATAGTGCATTAGTAATAAATCTGATGATGTAGGAGAAAGCTCCCCACAAGGCTATAGGCAGAGATTAAAGAAGGTGAGGGTCCCGGGAGGCGACGTGACCTTCGCAACACACAGGCCCCCTCACAACATATCTAGTAAAGTTTTAGGCATGCACGCGGTTAGAGCCTTGGGTATGAAGGTACACACTCACACACTGAAGTAAGTTCCCCCTAAGGTACTACCCTCTAGTTAGAGAACTTTAACCTACTTAGTACACGTAATGAACTATAATATAAAGTTATACTTATAACATATAAGATTTAGAATGTAACTTAGAAATCACTGTTACAAGGTAAACTTAGATGTGTAGAACTTACTTTAATAGCCGTTAGCTTAGGAGGGAGTAGGCTACTGTTAAAGTCTATGTCATTAAGCGCAAAGTGATCTTACACAACCTCGGACCAATGAGACTGCAGCAATCCAGGCTAACTATCTAATAGCTGTCGGTAATCATTTGCAGAGACCTACATTTAGGTTATGTGAGGTCACTTTACACTTAAGAGGATAATACTGCAGCGATATCCTTGTATGAATAGATCGTTAGGTTGTGTGTATTTGACTATTGCTATTGCCGATCGGGCCCTTCAAATGGGTAAATGCTTAGAACATTGTTTTCCCCTCATTTAGATAGGGAAATGCATCCTAGAAATAATTAGTGTATTTCCGGCCATTTTCTCCATTTGCGCTCAGGCGCGCACAGCAATATTGTCCACTTCAACAAAAGGTTACTACAAGCAGGTTGGTGCTTTAACTTTCCACCCTCCCTGCTTCAGTAGTGAACAGTCTTTACAATCAAGCATCACCTAGCTAAAGAAGGGGAGAAATATATGTAGTAGCTTTTGCCTAACTTCTGCCTAATATAATTAATTCTTAGTAGATAACGTAAGTCCTTTTAATTACACTAGGTACGTCACATGTAGCGTTAATAGAGTATTATAGCAGGCTGTATTACTACCTATCCCCACACGGTTTCTCGCTTATGGAGCTAATTTAACACTCTCTTAGTCCCAGTGCTGCGATAAAGTTCGCGAGCACGTGCCCTCAACACAATAAATTACGCCCTCACAGAGAAGGTAGGCAAGTAGGGTTGTGTTAACAGCAGCCGCTGTTAGCAACGTGCCGTTGACGCGTGCTAAGACTTGAATACATTACACTATGGCACCGCCCCTTGTCTTTGTTCTCCTCCTCTCAGGAGCTGTTGGCCAGATGATGCTTATGTGGCTTTTCGAGAGCTTTTCACTACTACCTTCGAAGTGGGATGCTGAACAGCGGCCGACACCTCCACCCGCGTGCCTGCGTACGGAAGACGGACGGGACCTCGCGGCCGAATTTCAGAGGCTGATTCGCAACTATTCTGCCAAAGCCGCCGACCGTCTGCTCGCGCCCGACGTCGTTGCCCATTGCGACGGGATGAACGAGATGGCCGGCAAGCCGCTGGGAGCGCCAACGTATCACGACCGAGAGGAGCTTAAGACCGCGCTGGAGCGGCAGAGCGGGCGCCCGACCCCCGTCACTCTGCGGACTGTGGACGTCGTCACATGCAACACAGTCGTGCTCAAGTGGACGGCTGTATTTGGCCAAGAGAAGTTACCAGTTAGGGGAATTCAGATTCTAACAGTCCAGAAAAGCGCCCCCCATTACGGCTGGGCGATTAAGACAATTGACACTGAGTTCAATAGCCTTGCCTATCTTGTGGATCTTGGGGGTACATATAGTATGCCAAATTAGGCCTGTATATAAAGTAATTTGTTTATAAACCAGAGTTTATAGAAATATTGAATATAGTAGAATAATATTGTCACAGAATGACATCCCCGATTGATTGATTGGCCATTAGCAATATAAGTCAAAGCACCCCCATTTCGAACACCCCCTCATTTTGAACAGCAACAACGAAACCCCACCACTATCCAGGCAGTTAATTCAAATCACCACAACATTTAATTACTATAGCTTAACTATATAAAATTAATATTAAAAAGAGGCAAATTTAATCTCTTGTAACTTTGCTGTTTTTGCTGCCTTAAAAGTGATCTTTTTTACCTGTTATTTAGATTTCTAGATATGCTCTATCTAGACGAAGCAGTTATTAGGCCCTAGGGCTACCTTTACCTTTATATATAGCTTATATACCTCTATAACCTCTTTAAGTTACTTAATCTGTTATTTATATGTAGCGATAAGTATATTCTTTATATTAAGGCCTTTACCTACTTTATAAAATAGTAGGCAGCCTTTAGGTGTGTTAACTTAAGGCCTAAGGACGTAGGTAAGAGTAGCCCTCTTTAAATCTCCTAATTGTTTAGAAGTAGTTAGTAGGCTAACTACTACTAAATCCCTTAACTTTAGGGTTAATAGAGGTGCTTTCTTATCCTTTGCTTTTTCCTCTTAAGGTTAGTATAGTAATTATTAACTTACTAGTACCTTTAATAAGTTAAATAGGTATATACTAGTGCCCCTTTATCTAGCCTAGATTATTATACTTATTATAGCTTAAATATATATAACACTATAGTAGTAAAGAAAGTTCTACTTACTAAGGTGTATAAAGTTAGTTAAGGCATAAAGTATACTAATACCCTTATAATAGGCTGCCTTTAGAGGACTAAAGACTAATACGTCTAGAGGTTAGGTTATATAAGAGGAATAGACTAAAAGAAATACTATATATATCCCCCTCTAAAAGTATTCCTATATAAATTTATTAGAACAGTAGCTTCTATACCTATCTATAATTAAGAGCTACTTTATATTCTTATTTAGTAGCCCTAGCTTTATCTAAGGATTAAAGACGTTAATAAGCTAGTAAACTACTCTTATATAGTTAGTCTAGCTATTCTTAGATACGTTAAAAGACTATACCTTATATACTAAGAGTTCTTTAAGAAACTACTATTATTATATATATTTACCCTTAAATATAACTAATAGTTAGAGTATTTACCTTATAGCTAATACACACTTAATAATTATTATCTATATATATAAACTAAGCTACTATATATATATTAATCTTTTCCTCTTACTAGACTTAATTACTAGGCTATTAACTCCTTAGCCTTTTATTATCTTAGTCTTATCTATATTCTATATATATTAAGGAGGTATTACCTTAACTATTAGATTAGTATATAGCTTAAAATATAACTAAAGTATCTCTCTTATATACGCCTTAACATATAGGCTATTAATTATTTTACCTTTTAATATCTTTAACTAGGGGTTATAGTAAAAAAGGCCTGCTACCTATTGCTTGCTAAAGGGCTAATAGTTATTACTAGCAGCTGCTATACAGGCAGTAAAGGCCTGTAGTTAGGCGTGTAATAGGCTGAGGCTAAGGCTGGCCTGGGCTAAGGCCTATATAACAAGATAATCTTCTTAAATAGCTAATAGTCGTTATAAGTGCTTACTAGATACCTTCTTAGGCATATATCCTTTTCTTTAGCAGTAGAAGGTTAAGATAGGTATCCCCTAGGTATAGGAAGCTTGCTGTATGCTTATCCTATTGCTAATATCTTTAAGAGCTTTCTGAATGTCGTCCTTAGTGTATTTTGGTATGGCGAAAACACTAGTATTTTTAAAATAATTAATATTTAATGTTGTGGTTGAGATAGTTGGTGTTGTTGTTCTAGTTAATGGTATGTGTAGTGGGGAATGCTGGTGTTTGAAATGAGGGGGTGTTCGAAATGGGGGTGCTTTGACTTAAGTGGTGTTGACAGCAGTGCTTATTGAGGACGACTTGAGCATTGGTGGATCTTTTGGGGCGCTGGCTCAATTGGTTAGAGCCAGGCGTTGAAAAGGTCTATTAGCAGGCGCGTCACTGTCAGCGCCCTGTTACAAATATATAATTATCTACAAAATATATAATTAAGCCTTAGCAAATAGTTAGGGAATAGGGAGTAAAGCTACCTTACTTAATAGGGATAATTAGCTATTTAGATAGCTAGAATTTATCTAGATTTTACTATCTAAAGAAATAGAAGAAATCTATAAATCTCTATAGATTAATCTAAGGTTATATATATACTACTTAATTAATATATACCTAGGCCTTATAGACTAATAGGTATATATTAGATGTTACTATGCTCTCTACTCATTTATAAGTAGTTAAGATACTATTTATATGAAACGTAATTTAGAGACACTAAGAAAGTAAATCTATATAAGTATATAATATTAATACTATAGGTAATAGTTTAATAAGTAGTAGCTAAAGTGTTATAGAATAAAGACTATAATAAGTATAGTAAGGTTTTACCTACTATAACACAGTTAGTGTTATAACTTAACAAGTTATAGGCTATATTACCTTACCTAATAGGTAGATAATAAGTAGAAATACTATTTATATAGATAAGAAATAAGAAATAGATAGATAACTCCCTAGAAAAAAAGAACTATAAGATAAGTTAAATAGAAATAAGAAGGTGATTATATAATAAGGTAATTACTAGTAATTATAGAAGTAAGTACTTACTACTATTTAATAAGTGCTTACCTTACATAAGAATAGTAATTACTTATAACTCTTAGTAGAATAAGTAGTTTATAGAACAGCTAGGACTTATATATAGAATAGACTAAGACGTACTTAAAGATAGACTTCTATAGGTCTTTACTAAGTAACTAAAAATATTTATTAATATCTTTTAGTATTAAACCTTAGTAATTTAATTAATAAGAGCTAGAGAGTTTAGAAATAATACTAAGTATAATATAGTACATATATATATAGAATATAATTATAATATAAAAGAGTATAAGTATAATATATATACTTATATTATATCTTATACTTAATATAAAAATATAAGATATAGAATAAATACTATTAGTTAATACTAAACTAGTAATATAGTTAAGTATATATATTAAAAGGTAATAAGAAATAATAAGAGATAAAAACTAGTTCTTTAATAATATATAAGAAGAAAACTATTATAGGATTATATAGTAGATTTACTAGAAAATATACCTATAGATCTAGTAGATCTGTAGAGAAATTACTATAAAATCCCCTTATAGACTTAGTAGATTTTATAGTAAATTAGCTATAGTTATTCTAGCTGTTTTACTAGCATTAGTCTATACTACTAGTCTCTAGGTAATAGCTAATACTATAATATATACTAATATTAAATAATATAAGTATACATCTAATACTATACTATATTTAATAATACTATATATATTAATCAAGAATATTATAAATATATATAAATATATATTTTTTAGGAAATAAATAAAAAGTAGTAATTCTTTGAAAACTAAAAGTACTATATAGTCTATATAAGTATCTATCTTTAAGTATTATAAACAATTAAATCTAAAACTAATTTAAAGACTATAAGTAGTAAAGCTTTACTATAAGCTATATAAGTAAAATAGTAGTAGTATTTAACTAGTAATAGACTTCTTATTATATATTAATATCTTTTAAATTAAGAAAGACTATTAAAGTATACATGGTAAATAATAACTTAATATAAATATATACTACTTAATATTAATATTCTTTCTCTATATCTTCTATTTCTTTATCTTCTTCTTCCTCTATAATACTATCTTCTGCTGTAGAAAAGTTTTAGTCTTATATTAAAGAGATTACTATATATAACTATTAGTAGTATAAAATATACTATTTAAGCTATCTAACTTACTAGATTCTTACTAGTTATTTAAAAGTATTAATCTAACTTAAATAAAAGAGCTTATATAACTTTAAAGTTAGATATATAACCTTAAAATAATACTAATATATATATATATATATATGAGATCTAGTATAAACTTTACTTCTAGATATAGACCTATAGAGATTTAATGTCTATAGTACTTTAGCATTAAGAGTATAGAAGTAGACTTATATATAGTAACTATACCTAGTCTAGGGTACTAACAATAGAAATATTTACTTATTTTAAACTAGATATTAAACAGGCTATAACAAGCTATAATAGGCTATAATTAGCTATAACAAACTCTAACAGGCTATAATAATACAAGGTTTTAAAACTAACTATATAATAGTATAACTATTAGTATAACAGGTAAGCTAGTCTATTAAATAAAGAGTTCTAGCTTAAGAGAATATATAAGAGAATATCTATTTTATAAATATATATCCTATAGAAGCAATAATATAGAATAAAAAGGATAAAAATAAGTAAGTATAAGTAAATATAATATAAAGAGAGTATAATAGTTAGTCTTATTGTTTTTTACTAACTATTACTTACTTATATAGAGAAAGAGAGAAGCCTAGAAACAGAAGAGATTCTAGCCCTTATATAGACCTATCTAGCTTAGTAAAATGCTCTATATTTACACAAGCTACTTATAAATTAACCTAGTAAATAAGTAAGGTAATAACCCTAGCTAGATTACCTTAACTTCAAGTAATAACCTAGATAGTTAGAGACAGAAGTAGTGAAGCTAATCTCACTCCTCTTAGAATGTTCTAGCACCTTTGGTTAATTACCTAGTTATACTCCTTACGTTATTAGTATATATATTATTCTACTAAGCTAGTAGATTATAAATATATATGTCTTATATATATATAACCTCTATAATAGAGGAACTATAAGATGAAGAAGTATAAGAATACTAGAGACATTCTTACTTTAAATAATAATATAATATAAAAGTAATATAAAGGTTAATATATAGATAAATACTATTAGAAATATAGAAGTTAGTTATTATATATAGATATAAATCCC